CTGAGCTCATAATGGTATGAGATTATTTTTAGATAAATATATAAAAATAGTATCTTAATTTATTAGAGGTAAGCAAATTTATTTTTTCAAGTTTTTTTAAACTGATTTTAGAGCTGGGAGGGAGAGAGATGATTTGTTATTCCACTTATTTATTCAGTCATTGGTTGATTCTTTTGTATGCTTGGACTGGGGATCGAAACCAAAACTTTGGTATATTGCAACGATGCTTTACCCAACAACAATTGAGCTAAAAAGTTAGTTTTACATCCGACCAGGATGTAAAGCAAATAATTTGATTTGAGGAAGGAAGGTTTTAGAATTCAGATATTTGTTTTAAATGATATATCAAATATTACACATTATATAGTAAAATACAATTATATAGATGTTAATGCAATTAAATCTTATCAAAAGATGTAACCAGTAGCAACTAAAACACCCCCCCCCCAAAGGACTTGTAAATTCAACCTTTAATTCAAAATGAAAGGACAACTGAGTCTGCAATGAATTATGACATGCCTGCAGTTTTGTAGTAAGTCTTTATCTGAATCTTAATGTCTAACTTTTTAAAGACTGGAGGTGGAAGAAAGTTCTTATTAATTGCAGAACAATATGGTACACAACATTTCTGACATAAAATATTTATTTGAAGGAGAATAATGAATATACTGATTTTTAGTGAATCTGAAATTGAATTTGTATCACCTTTTCTACATTCTGCTTACCTCATTCTACATTTAAAAAAAGTTATTGTGTCTATCCCTTCTAGGTTCCTTGAGGGTGTTTGCCATTTCAAGCTCGTCTTTATAAATCTCATAAAGTATAGAATTAGAGAAAGTTCTCAGTTGTGAGTTTAATTATTTGAGAATTATTGTGTTGAAACTGATTGTATATTTTATCTTTGAAAGGTACACCATTATTTGATGGTTCGTGTCGTTTCATTGATCCACAGACTATACAATCCATTCAGCAATGCCATTTGCTGCTTAGCAATCTTAATACAGTCTTAAGCTGTTTTGCAACAGAGGCACAAGAGATCACGGAAAGAGGTGTGCTGTTTATCTTATATAAATGAGCGTTTTGTTAAATTTTACTTATTGACTTCTTAAAAGACTAAATTTCCTGTCTTAGATGGATCATTGTGCAAAAAGGCCATTATTTTCTCAAATGCTGTTTGTTTTGTTTTGTGTTTTTTTTTTTTTTTTTTATGAAAAGCTACATAATGCTATTAGGTGTATCATGAGCCCATGCTTAAATAAGTGGCAAATTCTGGATTTAAACCTAATGGCTTTTAAGGTAGTATATTTATAATAGAATTTCAAATTTTTAAATTATACATAAGTTTTTATTCACAGAGGCCATTGTAATGTTTTCTGCTGTTTTGCCATTTTAAATAAACAGTCAGTTTTATTTAAAGGTCTGATATGAACAACCTATGGTATATTAATGATACTGTATAGTTTGTAGCAGTGTATAAACTTGACTTCTGAAATTAGGTAAATGGAAGTGTAGCTGAGATAGAAACATACCTAAAACATCTACTTTAGTGAGTTATTTGTTCAACCTAAGTTTTAACTTACTGTTAAAAATAACCAAAGAATTAATTAGTTTTTTAATTAGTGTCTTGTTTTTTCATTTGTGGTTGAAGTTTAAACAACTAATGTTTAACTCTTCCTTACAGGCCGTATGAACTTAACCAATAAATGTGTGGTTTCCCAGCTCATCTGTCAGTATGCACAAATGGTTCTCTGGTTCTCTCATTCTGGGCTTTTACCAGAGGGCTTAGGTAAAATATTTACTTATCTATAAATATTAATTGAAACATTCTTAAATCTTTATAATTTTGTGGTTGTGTTCTAATGTTTTAGGTTTTCTTTCTTCTACCACCTCACTTATGTTCCTTTTATTCTTACTTTCTTTTCTTACATTCTTTCTGTTTATTTTCAGTACCTCACCCCATGCCTGATACACAGGTTTTCCATACATGTTTATTGGGTTAAAGAACATTTTGAAGGAAAGAATATTTGAAAGAATATTATGGCTTCTGAAAGTTGATTCAATATCACCAGCTATAATTTAGGTCCATAGAACTTACAATCTTTTTATTTTAAGAGTTCTTTTAATATGGTTATTAACAAATATTTACCATCATTTAAATACCTCTTTTTATCTCAGGGGTGGGGAACCTTTTTTCTGCCAAGGGCCATGTGGATATTTATAATATCATTCATGGACCATACAAAATTATCAACTTAAAAATTAACCTGCTATATTTGGTCAAACATTTAATTAACTCACCCCTAATACCCTGGCAGGGCCAGACCTAATAATTTCGCAGGTCTTATATAGCCTGCAGGCCGGACATTCCCCGCCCCTGTTTTATCTAATGATTGATGCCAATATCAAGAATTAGAGAATTTGACTTTTGCTGTATTTGTTTAAAATACACTTCCAAAGCTTATTAACTTCTTGCATTTCCAGGATTCGTATTAGATTTTTTTTATTTTTATTTTTTTAAAATATATTTTATTGATTTTTTTACAGAGAGGAAGGGAGAGGGATAGAGAGTTAGAAACATTGATGAGAGAGAAACATCAATCAGCTGCCTCCTACACACCTCCTACTGGGGATGTGCCCGCAACCAAGGTACATGCCCTTGACCGGAATCGAACCTGGGACCTTTCAGTCCGCAGGCCGACGCTCTATCCACTGAGCCAAACCGGTTAGGGCTCGCATTAGATTTTATTTAAGCTTGCTTCTCTCACTGTCCATAATTGCTGTTGATCTGTTCTTTCATAATTCTCTTAGCATCCTTATTGTTACAGGTGTTTATGAGAGACTTGGTTTTCTCATTTGTGCATCTATTAATAAAGGGGTGGGTATATCATTGAAGTTTAGGAAGCCTACAAATTAAACAATAATATAAAATTATAGTAAAATATCAATGTGAGTAACCTAAGTATTGTTGGGATATTTTGGAAATATTACTAGCTTTTTTTCCAACTCTTAAAAAAACAATCTAGATGATGCTGTGCAGTTGTCAAGGTTATGCTACAACTACCCTGTAATTCAGAGCTACTACACCAGTCGTCGGCAGAAGTGTGAGCTTTTATCAAGGTATAGTACATCCAGAACCTTCCAGCAACATGTTAGAGACATTTCTCCTGTAGGAAGTCAGAACGCCTTCTGAGGTAGAACAACATTCATCCTGTTATAAAATGATTAAATGGGTGGAATTCTCAGAATTTGTTACCAACATTACTGTTTTATTTGCAATGTTTGCCTTGGCCTGATGGTCACACTTTTCCTTTAGAACTTGAGTATAGCTATTTGTTATTTCCTAAAGAAAGCTATTTACCACCATTCATAATTAGAGGAGATTCTATAATTTTAAACGTGCTTTTTCTGAGAATTCTTATTCAGGAAAAAAAAAAAACTGGAAGCTGCTATTCGTCAAAAAAGCTTCAAATAGGTCACCAGTTAGTTATGTTACATTCTTTCCATTAACAGTTGCATTTCAGCACTTGGACGACTTTGTTTTTCTCCCCTTATTTCTTCTCCCCCCCTTCCTGCTTCCCAACTCTTCTCCCTTTGATAATTGGGATGATTGCTTTTAAGAATTTAATGCTATTGTCTTGATAATAATAATTACCACTAATGTTAAATAATCTTTAATGTTGCCCTTATTGCAGTGGTAAATGGAACTCTGACTATTTGATGATCGATGGAATGGTTTCTCAGTTAGGAGATCGAGTTGAGAAATTGTGGAAACGAGATGAAGGAGGCACAGGAAAATACCCTCCTCCTAGTCTGCATGTAGGTTTGCAGTAACATGGTATCACTGAAGAGTTCACAAAGTTGTGGGGAGGGAGGTATGCTTAACTGAGTTGTCACACCTGGCACAGTCTTGGGGAAAAACAAGGAGTGAGAATAAATCTATAATAATAAAAGCGTAATACGCTAATTAGACTGGACACCTTCCCGGCGAGGGAAGCCCAGGTCTCAGGTGCCAGAGGGAAGCCGGTGCTGCAGCCGGGGGAAGGAAGGCCTACTCTTGCATGAATTTTGTGCATTGGGCCTCTAGTGGGTATATAAAATGGACTGAATTTTTTATCTCTTTTATAGGCACTACTTGACATATACCTACTAGACGACGTTACTGAAACAAGCAAACATTTTATTGTATCCTTTAAAATTTTTATTAAATAATTCATGTATTACCTAAATCACAAAATTTCAGAATAGTAGGAACCAATACGCAATCTAATCCAGTCTCAATTTCACATTTGAATTTTTTTAAAAGGAAGGTTTTTGGTTTTTTTTGCCCTGATTCATAATTTAATGGCTGTGCAGGTGCTGGTCTCTTCTGCCGCTCACAGGCCCACTGCTCTGGGGTCAGGGTTTTCTGCTCAACGGCATGGATATGCTTCACCAGCCGGTGTCTCTGGAGCAGCGGCTTCCCCTTCCACTTGGCCGACACCACCAGAACTCGGAAGCTGGACACTCAATGGTTGGGAGTCGTGGCCTCCACCTCCACGTGCTCTGCCTGCAGGTCCCGTCGCAGCTTCTCCCGCAGCTGAGTTCCATGGCGGCCGGCGGGGGCGGCCCGGCGCGGGCAGAACCCCAGATCCCACGCGGGTCACGCTGCTTCCACCCTCACTGCTGCCACTTCTGCGGAGGCCTCTACTTCCGCCCTTACTGAGGCGTTCCTAAAAGGAAGGTTTCTTAACCCAGGATCTGTGGGTTGGGTTTAAGTGGTCTGTGGTTAACCTGAAATTATGCAAACGTTTGTTTTATGTTTATTTTTGTAGGGATAGGGTCCAGTGCTTTTATCAGATTCTCAAATGTGTCTGAGACACTCCCCAAGTTAAGAGCAGTTCTAAAACATTACTGGCAAGTAGTCATTTTCAAATAGGTTAACTTATGTACTGAATATGAATATATTTAAGGTTGTTTACTATTTACTACCTTAGACATTGTGTTGAGCCCTGTGGTCGTTGCAGTAAGGTTTTTGTCCTCATGTCAGTTATTAATCTGAAAACGGGTAGTTCTATTAATAGTTTTTAAGACACTTGATGCATTTGCTTAAGCTGCCAAGTTTTGCTGGCTAATGAATTTGTCTATAGCTTTGTTTCTTAAATTTGCTAAGCTACTGACTTCATGAAGCAAGTACGCTTCAGTTCTTCTCTTTTGTGGTGGTGCTTCCTATGAAGAATGAAGGAAGCTGGTGTGGGATTGCCTATACCCACATCTAATAAAACTACTTCCCCTAGCTGGGCATTCATAATGGTTTTCTAAAAACTAAAGTCTTTCAAGAATCATTCCTTCTATATTCTGTTGCTACCTGTTATAAATATATAGGTAGAAGTTTTTGTTTATTGTCCTTAACCCACTTTTTAAAAGACCATTTATTTGTTACTTGATATTATGTATTCATTCCCAAACAAAACAGATACTTCAATTGAATCATTTCCAACTGCCTTTGCCATTTCTTGGGACCAGGTTAAACTTATTCAAGGATTTTGGCTGATCGATCATAATGACTATGAGGTGAGTCTGTTAGTTCACTTAGAATTAAAGCTTTTGTAAACTATTAAAATAATGATTAAAATTTATATTAAAGATGTGATTGAATCTATTTCTAGAGGTAATGTAAGGAGTCAGTTCAAATAAAGCCTTCACTACCCTAGGCAGTAAGAATACAAAGATAAAACTCCAGGTGTCTCACTACTTAAAGAAAGGAAACAAATAGGTAACAATTACCAATAGTGCAGATATGGTGATTGTTAGGTTAGAAATCTGTTTAGTGTGTAGGGGGAACCACAGAGGCAGGATTTAGCATTGATATGTGAAGTTGAGATGAAAAGAATTTTGTATGATTAGAGTTGGGAAGAGAGGGCTCAAAAAGCATGAGGTTTTTTAAAAGTGTTTAATTGAAAAATAAAGGATACCGTAGGTTGCCATTTACACT